TGTGTGTGTGTGTGTGTGTGTGTGTGTGTGTGTGAGAGAGAGAGAGAGAGAGAGAGAGAGAGAGAGAGAGAGAGAGCAGAGTCCACTGCTACCTTGATCTTGCAAATCTCCAGAAATAGTTTCGCCACCTGGAGGAAGGTGTTTTACGCACAGCTGGATGGATCCAGACCATATTTGAGACTGTCACAAGGCCCTTGGGTGCTTGTTGGCTTGTCTGCTCCCTGTTTGCCTCTCAGCTCATGGGTCTCTGCCACCCCACCCTTGAGCTTGGACTGACCAATGGCTCATCAATTCTTACTGTCAGCGGATAATCTTTAGTTTCTGTTGTTCCCTTGATTCTTGGCATCTCCATCTCTCTGATCGCTCTCCTCCACTTGCTTACTGTGGTCCTCTTTGTCCTTTGGAGTCTTTGGACAGTCTACCCATTCAAGTCCCCAGCTTAGGGAGGAAGACCCTGCCTTCAGACTCTACTTCTAATTCTTCCTTTGTCTAGAGATGGGTTTCACCTTTTGGTGTTCCAAGTACTAGGAAACAATCCTGCCTGTGATAAGCACCCTTTTAGAACAGAGGGCATGGGGGGTACAATCTAGAACCCTGGTTAGAACCCGGTCTCCCCAGCATTCAGTGAAAAGGATCCTGTAGCTTTTAGGCAAGGGCATCAAGCCTACATCTGGTTCAGAGTTTCTCTGTCTTCACTGAACACACTCCTCCCCACCAGCCCCATTTCCAAGGTCCTCTTGTCCATTTGGTCTCCTTTTTTTTTTTTTTTCAGGTACATTTCTGGGCCATCTTCTCATGAACATAAGGAAAGATGCTTTCCAAGGTAAAAGAGACCATGGAGGGATCTGCAGGAGACCATGTAAAGATTAACAGGAGATCACGCCATGAATCGACAGGGGATCACATGAGTATTCACAGAAGACTACTCAGGTCATCCACAGGAGGCCACAGGGTGAGCCACAGGAATCCTTAGGAAACAACTATACAGTAATCTACAAATAACCAGGCAATAACCCACAGTAGATCCCTTGGGGAAGTGAGTGGTGAATTATGCAAAGTTTAGCCTGTTTTGCCCAATGGCTGGGCACTTTCATAGCTTCAATCTGAGGGCTGCTTTCCTGGGATCTTTGAATGAAGACATTATCCAGTTCCTCAAATGCAGAGTTCTCTCCCCTCCTCCCTCTCACAAACATCCCCTCTCTCACGAGAAGGTCTTAATGTGAGACAAAACTTTCTATGTAAAATCCTGTTTGGAAAAGCCAGATCTTGGTTTCAGGGAAACTGAGGTGGAGAACCTGCCTAATGCTTCAGGTTTTTCCACCAAGGCAGCTATGATTCTGTAATCTAGGCTCATGGTGGGAGCCCTATACCATCATCTTAGTACCTCCTGGTTCTCTGACAATCACTCCAACCGACCCTCAGCCTGAGGGGGCATGGCAGAGATCAAGGATGGTCAGGGAGGAGTGGACAGCAGCTTTCACAAAAAAGAATTTACACTGGGCTTTGATAATAGGAGGGATCCTGGTCCAGATGGAGCCTTGAGGCTTCTTCTCCAAGACTCTTGAGTCCCTAGACATGTGAACCTCTCCCAAGCATGTCCTGCCAGCATCGAACCAATGCCTCTCTTGTCTCCCAAGTTCCTTCCAGGGCTCCCCTTACAGTGTAAACGTTTAGCAAATGTTTGTTGAGTGAAAGAATAGAAATTATATCCTGGAATTTTTAGAAGTGCTGTCTTGGGGATGATAATGAACAGATAGAGTAATTAAAACCAGATGCCAAGGAGATTTTTAAATGTCTCGGGGGATGACATTCCCATCGTTTATTTGGTGAAAACTGCTCTCTGCTCCATCTTGAAGCCAGCTCTTTCCTGGCACTGGAGACACGATCTAAACAGCATTTAATTCCAGGATGCTCTTCCCTCTTTCTGTGCCTGATCCAGTTTGACTTTAGGCCAAGCCTGATTGGCCCAGTGCAAGCCTGTCTCTCCAGACATCACTGCAGGGAACAGCGGCTTCTTATTCTCCCACAAGCCACAGTTAGGACACACGAGGATCTCACAGCCCCTGTGTGGTACCCTTACCACACAGCAGGCCCTGGTTCCTCATTTGAGCAGAGATGGGGGTGAGGCATGGAGGGGAGGCTAGTGCTGGCCCAGAGGGAGGTGAAATAAGGGATAATAGACAAAAGTGGAGGATGGGGCCCAGGAACTGCCAATATGGGTAGATGCTGAAGGGGCAGAAAAGGCACAGGAAGGAGAAGAAAGGAGAACTCTGAGGTCACCTGGATATCTGCATACCACAGTATTGAGGAGGGCTCACAGAAACTCTGGGGTTCTGCAGGGAGGATCCTGATAGTTGAGTTAGGGACTAACAGCCTAAGATGGTAAAGCAGCTAGATCTGTTCTTTCTGGAGGCCAGTGGTTGAGGGGGAACTAAGGATCCTTGTACCACAGGAAGCCCAGAACCAATGCTTGAAGTACAGTGGGAAAGAGCCAAGCCAAAAGGGATCTATGACAGAGAAGAAATAGGAGCCTGGGGCATTCTGGCCTGGGGATCAGTTGTTAAAATACAGGGCAATCAACAACACTGAAAGCCACTTGGAAAGATACACACACACACACACACACACACACACACACAGATGCACACATACACACACACATACACAGATATACACAGGTGCACACACATTTAAAATCAAGGTCTTAAATTCATGCCAGCAGGGAAGTTGTTGGTGATCTTGGAAAACAGCGGGATCAGGGAGCCACAAGCAGAGGCAAAACTAAAGTGAGTTTAGGAAACTGTGAGAAGCAAAGATGAAGACAGACATGGTGTTATGCTGGGAAAGTGAGACTATAATTATTGGGGAGAACAATGACATCAATGGTGAATTATATCAGTCCTTAATTGGTTTGTTTGTTTTCTTGTTTTTTTGAGACAGGTTTCTCTGTGTAGTTTTGGTGCCTGTTCTGGATCTCTCTCTGTAGACCAGGTTGGCCTCAAACTCACAGAGATCCCCCTGCCTCTGCCTCCAAGTGCTGGGATTAAAGGCATGTACCACCACCACCCAGTCAGTCTTTAGTTCTGAAGGTGGTACATGCACATCAGTCTGCAAGATGTTGGAGGATATTAGGGTTCAGTGGGCACTGATCACAGTTGTTAGGTTCCTGTTTCCTGGCACAAGGGGTTGTACAAAAAGACATGGATAGTTACAGCGCCAGAGACAGCAAGAATACACTTTCAAGGGAGAGTCTATGCTGGAACAGGAAGGTTTGAAGTGCAAAGGTTTTCGCCTGTGAACAAAAGATGGGGACTTCTGTGGGTCATTTGCAGAACACGGGCTTTTCCCAGCATGCTCTGTCTGTTACATGTCCACAGGCAGGGTTGCTGGAGGATATTTCACAGCATTCTTCTTTGCCAACAGGATTTTTTGGGTCATAGTCATACTCAATAAGTTTTACATGAGGCCTTTGGGAACCTCATTCTCTACCTCATTCTCCAATCTCATCCAGCGGCTCCCATCTTACTCAGCAGCAGCAGAGCCCTCATTGTGAGCAGCAAGGATCTGGGCATCTGGTCTGTCTCTAACATTGCATCTCCACATACTAACCATGCCTCTGCCATACAGCCTCACTGTTCGGCCAGGGCATGTATCACTCATGTGTCACTCATGTGTCTTGCACTGCGTTGATATCTCTGCTGGGGAACATTTCCTCCAGGTGCTGGGCTTCTTTGAGGTCTTCACTTGCTTATTTAAATGTCAGTGTTCCAACTGGCTTACAAAGTCTTCCCAGTCTCTGCAGCTCTACCTACTCTACCTCCCTGCTCAGTATTTTTCCACCCCTCTGGTTCTCACACAATGGATAGTCATTTTGGTTCTGGCTGAACTCACATGCGAACATTTGGACAAGATTTCTGTGGTTTTTTTTTTTTTCCCATCATGTTGTTTCTTTCTTTGTGTTCCAGACATGGAAGCTGCTTTATAACTTTTGCCTTAATAAATATCCGATATATGCACATGGCTATTTACAACACCAATGACCACCAACTATGCACGTCACACAATTTCTGCTTTCTCTAAATCAGGGTTGACTTTGAGTTTTAAATATGACATAACTCCATTTTCCTGAAATACTATGGTAGAGATTATCCCACAGCAGTAAGTTGTAGCATTTCACAGTAACTAATATCTTTACACACCAACAGTTGGCATCTATGGCTTTATTGTTTTGTCTACTTGATCTGTCAAAGAATGGAGAGTAACTGTTCAGCTCTCATGGGTACTTAACACATTCTCTTTGTATCTCAACCTGCCTTATCTCGCTCTGGTCTGAGTCTCCATTGTTAGGCCCATGAAGGCTCTCAGCTGTCATCTCCATGTATCGAAATGAACACTTGGTCAATAAGTCACTGTCCATTTTGTCCTGTTTCATGTTTCTTCGCTTTGATTTTACTCTGTGCTGAGCGTGGATTACCTCTTGAGCTCTCCCTGAGTTTTGTGTGCTACACACATCTGTCCAGCCCTTCACTTTTAATCTTCTCAGACCTCTTTGCTTTGGCCATGTGTCTGCTAGTGTGCAGGCTGACTCCTTTTTGTTCCAGCTTAAAGGTCTCTAGTGATGAACTTAATCCCTTCAAATGTTCTGCCAAAGCCTTTCGTTTGGTCCAATTCTTCGTGCTCTTTTTATTCTGATTGTCTTCATTTTGCCTTTGTAGCCCCGTCCTTTTGTGAATTAGGACTGTGAGAGTCTCTGCAGTGCTGATTCAGTTGGTTACCTTCAGCACAGCTTTTAAGTCTTACATACACAGATGTACACATACACGCTGAACATAAACACAAGCACACAGGCACAGATGCACGCATTCATGCTTACATGTATACACACAGGCACTCAAGTTCACACACATACACAGTATACACATATAGAGAGAGGTTGCAAAGCCACACTTCCCAGTATTCTGTTCATCTTTGTAAACTCTCTCTCTCTCTCTCTCTCTCTCTCTCTCTCTCTATATATATATATATATATATATATATATATATATATATATCAATTACTTATGAATTAAGCCTACAGATTTTTAGGTTCTATTGTATACTCTACAATTTAACAATGTTTTTTTAGCTTCAAACCCTGTTCCTTACATAGATTCTAGTGTAAGAATTATTAATGATATGTGGCCAGGAGCCGCAATCACAGCAAACACTAATTGTGTATTTGAATTACTTTGGGTCAGGGTTAACATCCCCTCCCATGGTCTTCCTGTCCATTCTGGTTGGCTCTGTTACCTTGACTCTGTTTGCAGGTTGATTGGTGTGTCAAGTTGTTTGTCTAGACAGCATGGTTTGCTATATTTCTTTTTCTTTTTGAAACAGAGAATCACTGTGTACCCCTGAGAATGTGTCCTGGAACCCTGAATCCTGCCTGAGTGCCTGAGTGCTGAGATTATGTCTGGAAAGACTGGTATGTTTTCAAAGCCTTTGGGTCAAAGGCTTTAAATCTTAGATGAGACTTAATTTGGTTAAAGTTCAGTTTCAGAAAAAAACAAGAATAGGATATAGAAAAGCTTCATACATGCTTTCCTCTCCTAGAATGCCTTGGAGAGCAGAGGGCATTGCACCATTTTGCATCAGTAGAGGCTGTGAAGTGGGAGGCAGCAGCTTTTGCTGGGGGCACCAGGCACCCAACGTCCAGGACCAGGCATCAGCTTCACAGAGGAGGCTAAGGAGATTTCTCATGACCGGATTACTAAAATCTCTCATGCTTCTTATTCACAATGCATTTTCACCCTCCTTCCGTAGTTGATGGTAATGCCAGGCTTAAAGAGTGATAGGCTGGCCAGGCGGTGGTGGCGCACGCCTTTAATCCCAGCACTCGGGAGGCAGAGCCAGGCAGATCTCTGTGAGTTTGAGGACAGCCTGGGCTACCAAGTGAGTTCCAGGAAAAAGGTGAAAAGTTACACAGAGAAACCCTGTCTCGAAAAACCAAAAAAAAAAAAAAAAGAGTGATAGTCTGTCTAGGTCCTAGGCCAGGCATGGGGCCAGGCTCAAGCCATCTTGTCTTGTCTTGCAAATGTTGCTCTCAGGGTGACTTTGACCTGCTTCTTCTCCCCATCCCAAGGTCACCTTCTCATCAGTTTGTAATCCTCAAGGAGATGTAGCCCAATATGTGATCAAGTCAGATGAGAAGGGAAGAGAAAGGACAATAAGAATGGCCTCCTGGTTTCCAGGGCACCTCTCCCTAGGGGATATGCAGCCTTATTATCCCAGGGGATATGCAATCACACTGTGATTTAAAATGACCCTCTGGTTGTTTCATACAATGAAACTATGATTACTATGATTTTACTAGAACAGAAGGGGCTTGGGGCTGGTGCAACCAATACAGCATTCCATTAGAAGTGAGGTGAAAAAAAGAAGAGCAAGAAACAGAAGAGCACCCTTCCTGCTTGAGGGAGCCAGGGACTTAGCTCAATGGAGAGACAACAAGTCAGAGCAAAATGAACAATACTACTTTTATCTTGTACAAAATGCACATGTGTATCTATAATTAGCAAACCCATTAAGCACAAGTCTGATAACTGTGTTACAGAATTCAAAGTCTGAACGAGTAAGAGAACCTATCCATGCAGCCCAAGCAAGGGCTGAGTGGAAGATGTGCTTTGCTTCCAAGGGAATCACAAATGATCCTGAGCCTGGATGCTGAGAGAACACTGTTGGGGACAGAAGGAAACACACCTATGTCTGAGGGTTACTGTACTACTCATTTGTCTGTTGCTGTGGTGAAAAACCATAACTAAATCAACTGAAGGAAACTTCTGGATTGGGGTTTCAGAAGGATAGACTCCATGACGGCAGGGAAGGCAAGGCAAGATAGCAGGAGCAGAGAGCTGGCTGATCACATTTTCATCCACACAGCATGCAGAAAGGAAGAACAGGAGGTGATGCAAGGCTACAAACCCTCAAAAGCCCACCACCAGTGGCATACTTCCTCCAGCAAGGCCCTCATCTCAGAAAGGTTCCATAACCTCCCCAAACAACGCCATCCACTGAAGCTCACGTTCAAATACATGAGCCTGTGGGGCATGGTTCTCATTCAAACCACAGCAGTGGTTGACTTAGAAATCTACTCAAACTCAAGAGCTCCTTCAGATGACATACAGAGAAAACTCCACAGGGCTCAGTCACTGTGTCTGAGCACTGGTGCTTGCTTCCTGAGCCAGCCTCCTGATATGGTCAGTGGGAATGAACCAGGCCAGGCTGGAGGGGGTCTCAGCAAGACTGAGGCCGAGGTAAGTTTATTCTAAGCAATCAGACTTTTTATACACTTACCAAAGCAGAATATAATGACAGTTTTCAGGATATCATGGCAGTTGCAGGCTAGATGGATGTGTAGTACTAGTTGTTTAGCCAAGCTTCTATGTGTTTTGCTGACTTCCGGGGAACAGAGAAAAACACAGGTGGCCTGCATGCTTCACTGACTGAGGGAGTGCCTCAGTTTCCCAGGAACTGGAAAGCACACAGCGCCCCCAGGAGCTGTGGACTCAAAACTTAGAAACCCATGATGCATGCCTCTAAAGGCAGTGAGACCAGGCCAACTCCATGATCCCCTGAAACATGTACACTAGTACTGTTTCATTGCTGTTACCAAATAGTCAACAAGAAGAAACTTTAAGGAGGGGTTTATCTGAGCTCAAGGTTTGGGAGTACAGACCATGATAGTAAGAAGGCAGGAGAATAGAGAATTCAGAGTAGTACTGAGTCATCACGATTGACATATAAGAAGCCATTGAACAGTAAGGCTTGAAACCACTCTCCACCAGGATTACAAGTATGTTGCAGGGCATGTTCACAGTTTAAAGATACAGGGAAGCCATGACAGCTGGAGCTTGAGGCAGCTGGTCGCACTGCCTCTGCAGCCAGGAAGCAGAAAGAATGCCGGTGTTCAGCTCACACTCTCCTTTTTATTCAGCCTGGGACCCCAGTCTATGGCATGGGAGTGCCCTCCTTCAGGGTAGGTCTTCCCTGCTCACTTAAACCTTTCTGGAAACACCCTTATGACATACGCAGAGGTGTGTTTCCATGGTGATTTTTAAATTCATCTGAGTTTGACATTGAAGACGAGCTGTCACAGCTATCAAGCATTACAGCTGCACAGAGCTGACATAGCCATGATAGTTGCCAGATGCAAGATGTCAGCAGCTGGAAGAGGGGGTCCCTGGATCCGCTTTGCAACTAGAGGACTGCAATTGCACAGCACTGCGGAGACTTCACACACGCTTAGAATAAATGCCATAAAGAAATGTTCAGCGTCTGACATGCTCAGTGTATTAATTAATTAAATTATTCCACAATATGCATATAATATCACATTGTGCTCCATCAATGTATGCAATTGATACTTGGCAAAATTTCAAATGTCTCATACCCAAAACTGACAGGTAAGTGAAATATGAGTATGTTCGTTGACTTTATGTGATCATTCCACATTGTATATAAATATAATAGCACAATATATGCCATCCATTTATATATAATTATAATTTGTCAACTAAAAATATCATTAATTTAAAAATAAAATACACAAAGGGAATGAGAATCTATCAAAACCAAGAATTACAACAGAATAAATTACACAACATGTGAAAATACAGGATGTTCAACTTCACACTTTCACATTTTGATTCAATAGCTGTTCAAATAGAACATCCATGAACTAAAATATAAACATCAGGAAGTTATAAGATACTGGTACAGAACTAGATTTTGAGACTTGGGTAGTAGAATGAGGTCATGTGAGTTTCAGAATTCAAGGGGAAAGAGGAAGACAAGAGTATACACAGAGAATGGGCAAGAACTTTCCAGAGTTTATGAATGCTAATGATTCCCACAACGCTTGCCCAGCCTCAAGCAAGGTTGAATAACTGTAAGCCCGTGTCCTGATACAGCATAGCAACAAAGACCAAGGGAAGACCTGAAAGACATTATCACCGAAGGAGCTATGTGTGACAGGCCCTCATGTGGGTTACTGGCTTCCAGAAGTACCGGAAGACAGTGGCCACGTGTTGAGAGAAAATTATTGCCACCTGATGTTGTATTCCTGAGGAGAAGAGAGATGAATATTTTCACACAGACACACAGACACAGACACAGACACACACACACACACAAAAGCACATGCTCAGATCAACATCTGACTTGTGTAGTTGGACTAGGGTTATCCAAAAGAACAGATTCAAGGGCATGGACAGGGGGATGGGCTCTGTGTCCAGTGGAATAGTTAACACATCACTGAGAACAGGCAATGCTCTAGAAGACACTCAGAATCAGACACCACAACACTGAAAGTTATACTTCAGTGGTAAGGAAAGTGACTCTTGAAGGGACACCCAAAGTCCAAAGAGGACCTGAAGGGCTTGGTGCTGGGTGGTAGAGTGCTTGTCTGGCATGTGCAAGACCCTGGATCTTACACACTCACAGACACACGACACAGACTTGGAACGTGCACTCTCTTCAATAAACTGGCAACCGCATTCCCAGGAGTCAAAACAGAAGGTGAAGCTAAAAAGCTTAAAAAATCCCCAAAATAGCTTCTCTGTGTGGCGTAGGAGGAGAGATCATTGCGACTGAAGCCTTTGCACATAATGTTTAAAAAGCAGTTAGAGATATTGATTACCTTGAAATTTTGTGGAGTTTAAATTCAGTTCAAAGCTTGTGGGATATCCACAAAGATATAAATAGAACATGCAGTTTCATTTTTTTAAAAAAAGATGTGGTTCAGGTGTGATATAGGATGATGGTCCTATCTTGTTGTGTACATCATAATGGACAACACATCTGACATGTGGCAAGATACAGAACACAGGGAACAGGTGTCGAATACCATGGCCCTGAAAGAAAGGAAGAAGGTAGGAAGTCCTTACATTGCTTCCAGTTTGCATCTATGGATATTTTGCAGCTAGTATATATGAAAGGGGTTCCCATTAGAAGACAGGAACCTGGATCACTTGAGAAGATCATGACTACAGTTTGGGCTTGCTAACATCTGGAGATTTTTTCAGAGTCTGAATTCAAAGATGGCCAGGCTATCCTTCTTGATATGCAGGGTCACGAGAGTTTGGTGCTAAATGTTATGTTCTGTGGTTTGATGGATTTTCCTGGGGAGACAAGAACAAATTCCTATTCATACCAGATTGGGCACCAAGGATATACCAAAGAGACAATTCTATCCAAGTCCACCTTAAAGGATAATGAGTTTATAGTTTATTGGGTTTCCTTAGAGGAACATGGGGTGGTGGTGGTACTGAAGGGACATGGTAATTCAAAAACAGATGTACCATTGAAAAGTTCTACCCCTGCCTGGGTGACAGGCTCAGGAAATAGCATCAAGGAGTCTTGTCTTCATATCATCTTCTAGCCTCTTCCAAGACCACCTGTAGCTGAGGGAGAGGAACATAATTGTTA